TTCTGCTTCTGTCTCAGAGTAAAAAATTGAGTTATCCTGTGTCTTCTCCTCCCCTCACACAAGAGATGACTTTGGTGGGTACCCAGATGAATGTTTCTCTAGTTTTCTGGTGCTTGGGTGAAAAACAACCAGGATGTCTGGAGACTCAAATCAACTAATTGCTTTTATTTTCCATGGCCATTAGAAAAATACATGAAGCAGTCATCCAGGAACCATCCAGAAACTTTTAGTCTAAACTAGCAACTGAATAAAGGGTTGAATTAAGCATCATATGGTTGATTCATTGAACAGATGTGTGCAAAAAACCTTGTGTTTTATTTGGGCCACTTTCTTTATATTGTAGTAACTTATGTCATCACCTGGAGGGATATTTATGAACAGAAGGATTATTATTATATGCGTTTCTATTACCTGCTAAGAATACATATTTATCTTATAATAATTACCCTAGAGAACCTTAATTATTTAAATTGCTTATTAATATGCATTATGTAATTGACAGGGCAGTGGCTAAAAAAAAAATTATACAAACTCAGAGATTTAAGTTTCTCTTAGGCAAACTTAGGAAAACAGAACTGGAAATACCCCAGTGGCACAGAGAACAGAATTCTACGTAAGGTCCACTCCCTACCCCAGTTCTGTTCAGATTCATTCTATTTGGGGGTCTTATTTAGATCTGGCCCCACTCTGGAGTCTTGCCTTACAGAACTGATTGGAAGAGATGAGAGTTTTGGCTGGTGAATCCTGCTGCCTTTCTAAGGCTGGTGCTCACAATTTTCTGCACCCCAAAGGAGATAAATGGGAAAAGTAAAGTATATATTTTAAGGTCTTAATTTTTAAATTTTCTATTAAATCAGTGCTTGCAGATTCCATTTGGCATCTTGTTTTCTATTCCTGCAGATTCAGTAGTTGCTCCACTAGTCACAAAAATATATATATACAGTAAAAGTTTCTGTAAACTGCATTAAACTTCTCTTTTCAGGTAATTTGTGTACATTTAGCTTTTATTCTATACATTTTCTTTAAAAAACCAAGAACAGAAACAGAAGGTGAAATACATATACTGGGCCCTTCGCCTAATGCTGGGAATTATTAAACACTTAGTACCAACTCCCAGTGTGTTATGAGGATTAAATCACATAATGTGTTATTTCTAGCGCAGTGCTCTGCAACATACTCTTGAGCACATAGTACCTGCTTAGTAAACATTGCATTAGTACATGTGTATATGTTTTCCAAATGCACGCATATTCAGGCACTGCTACCTTTTGTTGCCTCTGTAAACTTTAAAGAACCAGCAAAGAATTTGATACTTTAGGATGGAGATTGGTTGTCTTCATTTGTGCCAGAAGTATATGTGTTGTGACAAGAGTGCCAAGTGTAAGGGACTCTGTACTGTGCCTGCTTCTCTAACAAATGCTAATGATGAGCCTATGGGGAGCATCATCAGCATTGACAGGGGACTTATTTAAAACACACATTCCTGGACCCTTTGAAAACCTGCAGAATCACATTACATAGAGAGGGACTAAAATTACCGAGTGGTTTATAAGCTCATTAAAGCTTGAGAGGCAATGCTTAGCTAAGTGGTTAAAAACCCAGGGTTCTATTAGTTTGGTGCAAAAGTTATTACAGTTTCTGCCATTGTAAGTAATGTGGATTACTTAGATGTGGATACTCAAATTACATTGCCAATTCACGGAAATATCTTTGCTCGTGCCCTTTCCACGGGTTCTTTTTATTGTTGGACGCATCCATGTTGTTTTAATTAAGTGCCTCATGTGACTCTAAGGTGAGACCAGAATCAAGTATGAGGGGTTGAAGATACACTCATGAGAGTTCAGTTTCAGCTGTTTTCTACAGGGTGATCATAGGGCCTGTTCTTTTTGGGTTTGGTGTAGATGGCAGTGTGGCCCATATTTTTATTACTGTAGCAGAGATTGTTGGTATCTGTGGCAGGGAAGGGCACCGAAAACAGGAAAGGAGAAATATATGTTTCTATCATCATGGAGCAACTAATTGTTCCTGATTTTTTCATGTTATAAAGGACAGAAGTGGGTGGACTTTTTCAGTGGGTCTTGGTACTTCTGCCCATGGGTGTGGAGGTAGCAGGTAAACAGGTGGTGCTGACACTTTTAAAGGCATATTCTCAAGATGCAGGTGTAATTTGTCCAGAGAATCTCAACTGAAAAGGTGTCCCAGAGAAGGAGGAGATAGGGAAAAAATATGCCTTTTTTTTGTTTTTTTGTTTTTTTAAAGCTAAACATGTCTCAGATCAAGAGCTGTCTCTACTCTGCCTTCTGGAATTCCATCCATTTAGTACTTGCAAACCGTTACTTGTGTTTTTCCTCCCTAATGAGTTTGTTTTAACTACTTTTAAAAACTTCATTGATAGTCAAGGGTCTCTGAAAAATATTTCTTTTTAGAACCTTCTCTAAATTCTCAACATCATGGCTTTTTATATGCCATGCAAGATTCTAATCATAATTTATGATCTGCAGTATTAAAAATGTATCCTTTGTGGCTGTTGAACATGAGGTGGTGGGGATACTCAAGATTTCTATTGGGGAAAAGCTGGAATCCTTAGTAAAGATGGAGAGCAGGTAATGTTGAGGCTCCATTTGTGTTCACCATTAGCACTAAGCAGAATGGGATTAAGGACATGCTTATTTAAACGAGATGAGGGCTGGGCGCAGTGGCATATGCCTGTAATCCCAGCAGTTTGGGAGGCCGAGCAGGGTGGATCACCTGAGGTTAGAAGTTCAAAACCAGCCTGGCCAACATGGCGAAACCCTGTCTCTCCTAAGAATACAAAAATTAGCCAGGCATGGTAGTGCACGCCTGTAATCCCAGCTACTCGATAGGCTGAGGCAGGAGAATCGCTTGAACCCAGGAGGTGGAGGTTGCACTGAGGCACGATTATGCCACTGCACTGGGTGACACAGTGAGACTCTATCTCAAGAAAAAAAGATGAGATTTATTACCCAGAAAGTTCAGAAGATAATTATCAGGAGATAACTACTCTCTAGGGTGCTCAAAAAAGATTCCTTAAAATCACTACTAAAAATTACAGAAAATGGGAAATATCTGTATCTTGAAGTTTGCATAAAACTGATGTTTCTGTTTGGTTACATTGAGCCTGTAATTTACTTTTTTTTTTTGAGATGGATTTTCACTCTTGTTGCCATGCTGGGAGCCACCACTGCCGACCAGCCTATAATTTACTTTTTGGGAACAGTATTTCAGCAGTGATGCTGTGTTCTTCTGTGTGTATCAGCACATCATAAAAATTTGTCATACTGCTGTTGATGTTTATGATTCACTTGGATAAGTGCGCTCTGACAGATTTTTTTTTTTTTTTTTACTATAGAGTTAATTATTTTTTTTCTTTGTTATTTTATTTTATTATTATTGTTTTTGAAACAGGATCTCACTCTGTTGCCCAGCTTGGAATGCAGTGGTGTGATCTTGGCTCACTGCAACCTCTGTCTCCTAGGTTCAAGCGATTCTCCTGCCTCAGCCTTCTAAGTTGCTGGGACTACAGGCACCCACCACCATGCCAGGCTAATTTTTGTAAAGGTCTTTTTTTTTTTTTTTGAGTCTCTTCATTATTAAGTATCTTTATGCAGCTGGTGTGTATAAACTATCAAATTTAATCTGTCAGGTGCTCTTCTTTCTTAGGGTTTTTTGCATATATCTGTCCTTGGAAAATAAAGACTTTCATCTTCTTTTGTAGTCCAGAAAAACTGGGAAAAACACAGGTTCTTCAACATACTGAATGTTTGATAAAATATTCTTCTTAGGCCAAAATCATTGGCATTACTGGTGAGCTTGTTAGAAATTCAGAAGCTCAGACTTTATTCCAGATGTTCTAGAAAAAATAATCTCCATTACAAGATCTCCAGTCTATTGTACACATTAAAATTTGATAGGTACCTTCTAACTCAACATGTCTTTTTTATCTCAAAAATACACAGAACTCATTGTCTAGGATGTTAACATCACACTCAAAAACATACAGGCTTAATTTTTTACTTTAATGCTTTTATACTTTTTTATAATTTTATACTTTATTATCCAGAATACATGCCTTAATTTTATACTTTATTTATTTTTATACCTTTTTTTTTTTTTTTTTTTTTTTGAGACAGAGTCTCACTCTGCCGCCCAGGCTGGAGTGCAGTGGCCGGATCTCAGCTCACTGCAAGCTCCGCCTCCCGGGTTCACGCCATTCTCCTGCCTCAGCCTCCCGAGTAGTTGGGACTACAGGCGCCCGCCACCGCGCCCGGCTAGTTTTTTGTATTTTTTAGTAGAGACGGGGTTTCACCGTGTTAGCCAGGATGGTCTCGATCTCCTGACCTCGTGATCCGCCCGTCTCGGCCTCCCAAAGTGCTGGGATTACAGGCTTGAGCCACCGCGCCCGGCCTTTTTATACTTTTTTTATACATGCTTTCGTTTTATACTTTATTATCCAGAAAAGTATCATATATACACTGATGTTGTGGATCTTATTCCACTCTTTTTTCAGAGTTAGAGAATACATAAGAGAGTATTTCTGTGTTGAAAATTATTTTCAACAAAGCGTGGTGGCTCACACCTGTAATCCCAGCACTTTGGGAGGCCGCGGTGCATGGATCACCTGAGGTCAGGAGTTCGAGACCAGCCTGACCAATATGGTGAAACCCCATCTCTACTAAAATTACAAAAATTAGCTGGGCATGGTGGCGGGCGTCTGTAATCCCAGCTACTTGTGAGGCTGAGGCAAGAGAATCGCTTGAACCCAGGAGGCAGAGGTTGCAGTGAGCTGAAATTGCACCTTTGCACTCCAGCCTGGGCAACAAGTGCAAGACTCTGTCTTAAAAAAGAAAAAAAAAATTTATCGGATGATTTAGTCATTCCTATAAGTCAGAACCTGTTCTCTTTACTCTCATTTCACCTTTAGTCAAATTAAAAATTCTGCCCTTGGCCACCTGATGTGTGTGTGTATGTGTGTTTTTCAGGGACCATTGACATTCATGGATGTGGTAATAAAATTTTCTCCAGAAGAGTGGCAATTCCTGGACACTGCACAGCAGAATTTATATAGGGATGTGATGTTAGAGAACTACAGAAACCTGGTCTTCCTGGGTGAGAATAACTTCAATACACAATTCTAAGATACTCTAAATTTTTCTTTTTTGTTGTTTTTGTAGAATGTTTTTTGGTAATTGATGCTTTGCATAAATGAGTTTCACATCAGTGTTTTGAAGAAAATCTTGGGAATTTGTCAGTGTAGAAAAGGATTTCTTTAAGATAAACATCTTGAAGTTCACCTTGATCTGAACTTTCCACATTCCTGAGCAGACCTGTATTTTTTATTCTACATTAGTGACAATTTCAAAATTTAGTGACATAAAATATTGTTGCCCACATCTTAACATGTAATTGTCGACACCAGCTTTTGATTCATTGGTACTGAGTAGTTAAACTATTATTTATTTATTTATTTATTTATTTATTTATGAGAGGGAGTGTTGCTGTTGCCCAGGCTGGAGTACAATGGCGCGATTTTGGCTCACTTGAACCTCCCGGGTTCAAGAGATTCTTCAGCCTCAGCTTTCTGAGTCACTGGGACTACAGGCTTGTGCCACCAAGCCCAGCTAAGTTTTCTATTTTTAATAGAGAAGAGGTTTCACCGTGTTGGCCAGGCTGGTCTCGAACTTCTGACCTCAAGTGATCCACCCTCCTCCTCCTCCCAGAGTGCTGGGATTACAGGCATGAGTCACCGTGCCCAGCCCATTTTCTAAATATTTAGAAGTTACTGTTATAAATTCGTGTTTTGGGGTTAATATACTAGAATATTCCATTACGTTCTCTTTACTGAGCACATTATTTGAAGAATATGAGCAACATTCATGTTACTTATTTTTAATAAAACAGGTATTGGTGTCCCTAAGCCAGATTTGATCACCTGTCTGGAGCAAGGAAAAGAGCCCTGGAATATGAAAAGACACAAGATGGTAGCCAAACCCCCAGGTAGGTGAGAGTGAACACAATGGACAACACAGATGAGAGGTCCAAAGGTTAAGGAGAAAACCAGTCCTTAAAATAGATTTCGGGAAGCTGTGTTCCAAAGAAAATAGTTTCAAGAAAATCTATATTTTCATATTTTCAGGGGAACCATAAATATTTGCATAATTTTATAAAACTCTGTGTTAGGCCGGGCAAATGTCTCACGCCAGTAGATCCAGCACTTTGGGAGGCCAAGGCGGGTGGATCACCTGAGGTCAGGAGTTCGAGACCAGCCTGGCCAACATGGTGAAACTCGTTCTCTACTAAAAATGTAAAAATTTCCTGGTCGTGGTGGTGCACGCCTGCTATTCGGTGTAATCCCTGCTATTCGGGAGGCTGAAGCAGGAGAATCGCTTGAATTAAGGAAGCAGAGGTTTCAGTGAGCCGGTGTCATGCCATTGCACTTCAGCTTGTGTGAGAAGAGAGAAAGTCCGTCTCAAAGTTAAAAAAAACAATAAAAAAACCTGTGTTAAACTATTTTTTAAGTTCTCTTGTTTTACCATGTTTAAAATATGTGAGAGTAGTGGTTTCTGTTCCATTTGTTTTTTCATTTTTCTGCATAATTCATCCTGTTTTTATTAGTATAGTCTTCAAATACAGTTTGGGATTATTAAGTGTGACATCCTCCCGGTTCTTTTTTGTCAAGATTGCTTTGGCTATTCAAAGTTTGTTGAAGTTTCATGTAAATTTTAGGATTGTGTTTTACATTACTATATAAAATATACCACTGGAGTTGTTTTTTTTTTGTTTTTTTTTTGTGTTTTTTTTTTTTTGAGATGGAGTTTTGCTCTTGTTGCCCAGGCTGGAGTGCAATGGCACGATCTGGGCTTACTACTACCTCCGCCTCCTGGGTTCAAGCGATTCTCCTGCCTTCGCCTCCCGAGTAGCTGGGATTATAGGCATGTGCCACCATGCCCAGCTAATTTTTAGAGACAGGGTTTCACCATGTAGGCCAGGCTAGTCTTGAACTCCTGACATCAGGCGATTTGCCCACCTTGGCCTCCCAAAGTGCTGGGATTACAGGTGTGAGCCATTGTGCTTGTTTTGTTTTTTTTTTTTTTGTTTTTTGTTTTTTGTTTTTTTTTAATTGAGATTGAGTTTTGCATTTGTCGCCCAAGCTGGAGTGCAATGGCGCGATCTCGGCTCATTGCAACCTCTGCCTCCTGGGTTCAAGTGATTCTCCTGTCTCAGCTTCCCCACAGCTGGGATTATAGGGAAGAGCCACCACACCCAGCTACTTTTTGTATTTTTAGAGACAGGGTTTCATTATGTTGGTCAGGCTGGTTTCGAACTCCTGATCTCAGGTGAATCACCTGCCTAGACCTCCCAAGGTACTGGGATTACAGGTGCGAGCCACCACTTCGGGCCAATCACATGTGGTTTGCAAATAGTTTTACCAGTTTGCAAATATTTTACCAGTTTCCTTTGAAGAGAGACATTGTCACTCTTTTGAATTTTTTTTTTTTTTTTTTGATGTGCAGAAATATTGAAGTATGGTGTGGTTAAATTTCTATTTTCTTTTTTCTGTTGTTCATGCATTTAATGTCATATCTAAGAAAATGGTGCCAAGACCAATTTCATGTCTTTCCCCTATATTTTTTATAAGAGAATTGTTATTTTTTATTTCTAAGTACCATATAAATATATATATACACACACACACCCCGTATATATATATATATACACACATATATAAAATTTTCCTTTTTTTTTTTTTTAACAAGATGTAATCTTGTTCTGTTGCCCAGGTTGGAGTGCAGTGCCATCATCTTGGCTCACTCCAACATCCACCTCCTGGGTTCAAGTGATTCTCCTGCCTCTCAGCCTCTCGAATAGCTGGAATTACAGGCGCCTGCGACCATGCTCTGCTAATTTTTGTATTTTTAGTAGATACGGGGTTTCAACATATTCTCCAGCCTGCTCTCAAATTCCTGACCTCAGGTAGTCTGCCCACCTTGGCCTCCCAAAGTGTTGGGGTTACAGGTGTGAGCCACTGTGCGTGGCCCTAAAATACTTTTTGTATATAGTTCAAAGAAACAATCCAGCTTTATCAGTGTAGGTATCCAGTTTTCAAAATTATTATTTGAAGAGATTATTTTTTCTCCATTGTGTGCTCATGGTAACTTTGTGGAAGATCATTTGATCATATACAGAAGGTTTTATTTCTGAGCTCTTTATTCTTTTGTTTTTTTTCTTCTGTTTATCTTTGTGTTAGTATCACATTGTTTTTGGGATTGTAGCTTTTAATATGTTTTAAAATTCGGAAGTATAATACTAATTTTTCAGGGTGTTTGGCTAGTTATAGTTTACAATCAAATTTAAAATTTTTGAACAACATATTTGTTTTAAAAATCTGTGCTATTAGGATTTTACAAAGATTATGTTAAATTTGTTCACCCTTGTAGGTTGTATTGACATGTTAACAAAATAAAATTTTTTGACCTTTCAGCAAGTATATATTGAAGAGTGTGTTTTATATTTGTTTATTTTTCTAATCTCTTTTTAGAGACAGGGTCTTACTATGTTGTGCAGGCTAGTTTCAACCTCCTGGGCTCAAGCAGTTCTCTTGCCTTGGCCTCCAAAATTGTTAATATTACAGGCGTGAGCCACCATGCCTGTCCCGTGTGTTTTATTTTATGTATTTTTGGATTTGCCTGTTTTTCCTAGTTTCATTCACTTTTGGTCAGAATACACATAGTGTATGATTTTGGTCTTAAGTTTATTTGTTGTTGTTGTTTTGAAACAGAATCTCACTCTGTCACTCTGACTTTTCTTTATAAGTTATCCACTTTCAGGTATTCCTCTATGTGCAAAATAATTAATAGAATCTATAATGTTGTCTATGCTTCCTGTTTTCTTATCGATCTTTTATCTGAATTTTTAATTTATTATTTAAAATGGGATTTTGGTGTCTAAAATCATTGCGTTGCTATGTATTTTCTGTTTCACTTTGCCAATATTTGCTTTATATATTTTGGATATATGTCTCATAATATATGATATTTATATATATGTATCATAATATATATGATAGTTATAGATTCCTGGTAAAGTGACCCATTTGACCATTACATATCAATTTTTGTCTCACATTAGTACTTGACTTAAGGCATATTATGCCTAATATAATTATGACCACCTCACTTAATTGCGGTTACTATTTACATGGAATATAGATTTTTTCCATTATGTTGCTTTCACCCTGTTTGACTCAATGCTAAAATGAGTCTCTTATAGACAGCATACTGTATTGCTCTTTTACTTAATCCTCTCACACATCTTGTTTCTTATTCTTTTTATAAATTTAATTAATTAATTAATTATTTTTTGAGACGAAGTCTTGCTCTCTTACCCAGGCTGGAGTGCCAGTGGCCGATCTCAGCTCACTGCAAGCTCCGCCTTCCAGGTTCACGCCATTCTCCTGCCTCAGCCTCCCGAGTAGCTGGGACTACAGGCGCCCGCCACCACGCCCGGCTAATTTTTTGTATTTTTAATAGAGATGGGGTTTCACCGTGTAGCCAGGATGGTCTTGATCTCCTGACCTTGTGATCCGCCCGCCTTGGCCTCCCAAAGTGCTGGGATTACAGGCGTGAGCCACTGCGCCCGGCCCTTAAATTTAATTAATTATTTAGGATAGGATCTCACTCTTAACCAAGCTAGTTTGCAGTGGCCTTATCACAGCTCACCACACCCTCAACCTTCCCAAACTCAGATGATGTCAATTCAGCCTCTTAAGTAGCTGGGTTACAGGCATGTGCCATCATCACCCAGCTGGGTTTTTTGTTTGTTTGTTTGTATTTTTTGTAGAGACAGGGTTGCCCAGGCTGGCCTTGAACTACTGAGATCAAGTGATAAGGCCACTTGGGCCTCACAAAATCCTGGGATTACATGATTACATTTCTCTCTCTCTTTTTTTTTTTTTTGAGACAGAGTTTTGCTCTTGTTGCCCAGGCTGAAGTGCAATGGCACAATCTTGGCTCACCACGAGATCCACCTCTCAGGTTCACATGATTCTCCTGCCTCAGCCTTTTGAGTAGCTGGGATTACAGGCATGTGCCATCATGCCCAGCTAGTTTTGTGTTTTTAGTAGAGACAGGGTTTCTCCATGTTGGCCAGGCTGGTCTCAAACTCCCAACCTCAGGTGATCTTCCTGCCTCGGCCTCCCAAAGTGCTGGGATTATAGGCGTGAGTCATTGTGCCTGGCTACATTTCTTTTTATTAAGTTGTTTAATTTACATTTAAAATAATTGCTTAAAGATATGAAGTTACTATTAACAGTTTATTATTGTTTTATGTATTTTTTGTAGATATGTTTTTTCTCATTTCCTGTTTTACAGCCTTGTTATTTTAATTTTGTGACATGCTTTGGTTATTTTTTATTGTTTCACATACTTTCTATAAATATGATGCAGTCATCCTGAAATATAATGTAATCATTTTGAAAAATGGAGATTAAATAAAACATCTTAAAGTTAAAACAATACATTTTAATATGATAACTTCAATTGAATACAAAAACCTATAGCTTTATATTTTCCAGTTTGTTATTGATATTATAAATATATTGTGTATCTATTAACAAATGTATGCAGATTTAGTCTTGGTTTTTATATTTACAGAAGTTGTTTAAGGGTTTTATGTACCATCATTATAATAGAATTCTGTATGTGTCTCTATATTTACATTTAACAGAGAGCTCTCTCTCTATATACATATATATATATATTTTTTTTTTTTTTGAGAGGAGTTTTGCTCTGTCGCGCAGGCTGGAGTGCAGTGGCATGATCTCGGCTGAGCTCACTGCAACCTCCGCCTCACGGGTTCAAGTGAGTCTCCTGCCTCAGCCTCCTGCGTAGCTGAGATTATAGGCATGAGCCATCACACTCAACTAAATTTTCTATTTTTAGTAGAGATGGGGTTTCAGCATGTTGGTCAGGCTGGTCTTGAACTCCTAACGTCAGGTCATCTGCCCGCCTTGGCCTCCTAAAGTGCTGGGATTTTATGATGCTGTCCAGCATGATTTTATTTTATTTATTTATTTAAAAAAATTTTTTTGTTTTGAGACGGAGTCTTGCTCTCTCGCCCAGGCTGGAGTGCAGTGGTGCAATCTCAGCTCACTGTAAGCTCTGCCTCCTGGGTTTACGCCATTCTCCTGCCTTCAACAAGATTGAAACTCCATCTCAAAAAAAAAAAATGCTTCCTCAAATTTTTAATTTTTATATTGTTCTCTAGAATTCTTTAAATTTTATAGAATAATTACGATTGTTTTCTGCATCATTATAACAATGGTAAGAAATTTCATTTTTATGTATGTGCATTTCTTTCGTAGAAAATAATGTATTTTTATATGATTGTGTGTTATTTTCTATCTCTCTTTTTTATTTTTGAGATGGATTCTTGTTCTGTCACCCAGGCTGGAATTCAGTGGTGCAATCTCGGCTCACTGCCACCTCCACTTCCTGGGTTCAAGTGATTCTCCCTCCTCAGCCTCCTGAATAGCTGGGATTATAGGCACACACCACCACACCTGGCTAATTTTTGTATTTTTAGTGGAGACAGGGTTTTTCCATGTTGGCCAGGCTGATCTTGAACTCCTGACCTAAGGTGATCCATCTGCTTTGGCCTCCCAAAGTGCTGGTATTACAGGTGTGAGTCACCATACCTGGCCTGTTGTTTTCTTGAATCATGTTATTTTCAGTGGAAGAAACTGCTTTCGGTATCTTTTATACATAGGGCACATGCAGCGCCAATATACTTTTTCAGAATTTGATTACTTTGGAAGGTTTTTTTGTTTTATTTTTGGCAGGACAGATTTGCTGATAGTATTATTCTCAGTTGGTAGCTATTTTTTCAAGACTTTGACTATATCACACAGTTCCCATCTGGCCTCCAAAATTTTTGTTGACAATTTAGTGGTTATCTGAAAGCCTGCTTGTAACTGCAAGCAGTTTCCAAGATTCTCTTTTTGTCTGTGACTTTTAAAAGTGTGCCTATATATGTGTTTGCTATAAATATTTTTGTGTTTTTCCTAGTTTGTTGAGCTTCTTCATTTTTATTTTATGTTTTCTTTTAGAATTTTTTTGTTTGTTTTTGTTGAGACAGAGTCTTCATCTGTCTCCCAGGCTGGAGTGCAATGGTGTGGTCTTGGCTCACATTGTGGTGTGGTCTTGGCAACCTCCACCTCCCAGGTTCAAGCAATTCTCCTGCCTCAGCCTCCTGAGTAGCTGGGAGTACAGGTGCTTGCCACCACACCCAGCTAATTTTTTGTATTTTTAGTAGAGATGGGGTTTCACCATGTTAAGCAGGATGGTCTCGATCTCTTGACCTTATGATCTTCCCGCCTTGGCCTCCCGAAGTGCTGGGATTATAGACATGAGTCACCGCGCCTGGACACAATTTTTTAGTTATAATTTTTTTTTTATATTTTTTACTTCCACAATTTCTGTCTTTTTGATATTTCATACTTTCGTTACCCTCATTTTTCTGTTTTTCTATAGTTATCTGTTTCCGTTTCACTCATCGAGTATTTATATATTTGAATATAAAATTATTCACTTTATTTTCAATTTTTAAAATTAATACAAACATCTTTTTTTTTTTTTTTTTTTGAGATGGAGTCTTGCTCTGTCCCCCAGCCTGGAGTGCAGTGGTGCGATCTCGGCTCACTGCAAGCTCTACCTCCCGGGTTTACGCCATTCCCCTGCCTCATCCTCCTTAGTAGCTGGGACTACAGGCGCACACCGCCACGCCCAGCTAATTTTTTGTATTTTTAGTAGAGATGGAGTTTCACTGTGTTAGCCAGGATGGTCTTGATCTCCTGACCTCGTGATCCGCCAGCCTTGGCCTCCCAAAGTGCTAGGATTACAGGCATGAGCCACCGTGCCCGGCCTATAAACATCTTTTTTATAATTTATTTCTGAAAACTTTATGATATATTTGATGGAACTGTGGTGCCCTATTTTGTATACATTGTAGTCTTTAAGATTTGGATGTTATTAAAAGCTACCTGTCACATAAGTTATGGCATAGTCTGAAAATAATTATCTTGGTTAGAGATGTTGGGAGTCTGTCAAACAGGTTCTTATGACATGTCTTGTCTGAATTTAGTGTTTACTTTCTAGTTAAAGAAGTTTATTCATGTTTCTTTAGAGTCATCACTTGCTACACCTGTTCCCTGTCTGTTATACTGCAGTTTCTCTGCTACTGTAACATTTACATTTAGTCTCAGCAAACTCAAAGTGTCACTTCAAAGTATATGACTTTATGTTATTGGAAACAGAAACGAAGTGTCTGGAAAAGCCCCTAGAAGACGGAAATAAAGATGAATGTGCCAGTATTTTACTTGTCTTTTAAAAAAGAATTCAGGAGCTTACTATTTACTTGTAAAGGTTCTTTGGTATATTGGGGAGCAGGAAGAGCTGTTTTGGGTAGATGTAATAAACTTTTCTCTTCATTCTATGAGGGTCTTTGGGGCACTGCACCTACTTAACTCATTTTTACATTTTCCACAAATGTATTTTGGTCTGTATGTTTTTGTTACATTTGTATGTCTATGAAGTAATTATGGCCTGTGGTATTTTCCTATGCCATCTTGCTTATGTAGTTTGTATAATTTTATAGCTTAGATTTGTAAAGTATATCCATCTGAGTCTAGTAAGTGAAGTAATTTGTTATTTTTATTTTTTTCAGTTGTGTATTCTCATTTTGCCCAAGACCTTTGGCCAGAGCAGGGCATAAAAGATTCTTTCCCAAAAGTAATACTGAGAAGATATGGAAAATATGGACATGACAATTTACAATTAAGAAAAGGCTGTGAAAGTGTGGATGAGTGTAAGATGCACAAAGGAGGTTATGATGAACTTAAGCAATGTTTGATAACTACCCGGAACAAAATATTTCAGTGTGATAAATATGTAAAAGTCTTTCATAAATTTTCAAGTTCAAATAGCCATAACATAAGACATACTGGAAATAATTCTTTCAAATGTAAAGAATGTGGCAAATCATGTTGCATGCTTTCACACCTAACTCAGCATGAAAGAACTCATACTAGAGTGAATCGTTACAAATGTAAAGAATGTGGCAAAGCCTTTAGTATGCCCACAAGTCTTAATAATCATAAGAGAATTCATACTGGAGAGAAACCCTACAAATGTGAAGAATGTGGCAAAGCTTATAACTGGCCTTCAATCATTAGTAAACATAAGAGAATTCATACTGGAAAGAAACCCTACAAATGTGAAGAATGTGGCAAAGCCTTTAGTGAGTCCTCAAGCCTTAATAATCATAAGAGAATTCATACTGGAGAGAAACCCTACACATGTGAAGAATGTGGCAAATCTTATAACTGGCCTTCAATCATTAGTAAACATAAGCGAATTCATACTGGAAAGAAACCCTACAAATGTGAAGAATGTGGCAAAGCCTTTAGTGAGTCCTCAAGCCTTAATAATCATAAGAGAATTCATACTGGAGAGAAACCCTACAAATGTGAAGAATGTGGCAAAGCTTATAACTGGCCTTCAACCATTAGTAAACATAAGAGAATTCATACTGGAAAGAAACCCTACAAATGTGAAGAATGTGGCAAAGCCTTTAGTGAGTCCTCAAACCTTAATAGTCATAAGAGAATTCATACTGGAGAGAAACCCTACAAATGTGAAGAATGTGGCAAAGCCTTTAGTGAGTCCTCAAGCCTTAATAATCATAAGAGAATTCATACTGGAGAGAAACCCTACAAATGTGAAGAATGTGGCAAAGCTTTTAAAATACGTGCATACCTTACTACACATAACAGAATTCATACTGGAGAGAAACCCTACAAATGTAAAGAATGTGGCAAAGCCTTTAGTGGGTCCTCAAGCCTTAATAATCATAAGATAATTCATAGTGGAGAGAAACCCTACAAATGTGAAGAATGTGGCAAAGCTTTTAAAATACGTGCATACCTTACTACACATAACAGAATTCATACTGGAGAGAAACCCTACAAATGTGAAGAATGTGGCAAAGCCTTTAACCGATCCTCATCCCTTACTATACATAACAGAATTCATACTGTAGAAAAACCTTACAAATGTAAACAATGTGGCAAAGGTTTTAGCCAATCCTCATCCCTTACTAAACATAAGATAATTCATACTACAGAGAAACCCTACAAATGTGAAGAATGTGGCAAAGCCTTTAACAAGTCCTCAATTCTTAACATACATAAGATGATTCATACTAAAGAGAAACCACAAACCTTAAAGATGTGATAATGATTTTTATGAAAGCTCAAACTTTTTTAAATATGAAAGAAATCATGCTGGTGAGAGAGAACTAGAAATGTGAAGAATACGACAAAGCCTTTAAAGGCTATTTAAATAGTCATCTCACTTGATTGTAGGTAAGATACTTTATACTCGAGAAAACTACAAGTGTGAAGAATGTGGCAAAACTTAACTAATGCTCATACCTTAGTGCACAGGAAATAATTTATTTTTGAGACAAATTGTACAAATATAAAGAACGTGACAAAGCCATTAATAACTGCTCACATCTTAACATCAGAGAGCTAATACAAGCATTAAAGGTGCAATTACTGTCAAAAGATCTTCCAGAAAATAGAAGCCTTTAAAATGTATTAAATTTATTGCTGTAAATTCGTATGGCTTACAATTCAGAATCTCTACATGCAAATTTTTTTAAAATTTTTCTGGTACTCATACTAGACCCATGAATTTGATTCTTATTTCTTTTTTTTTTTTTTTTTTTTTTTGGTATGTACCATTTTAGTTTTTATTAATAAAATAGAAACCTAAACTCAGAGAACTGCTTTATTCTTGCATCTAATCTGACCATACATTGAAGTAGCAATTCTTTTTTTTTTTTTTTTTGAGACGGAGTCTTGCTCTGTAGCCCGGGCTGGAGTGCAGTGGCCGGATCTCAGCTCACTGCAAGCTCCGCCTCCCGGGTTTACGCCATTCTCCTGCCTCAGCCTCCAGAGTAGCTGGGACTACAGGCGCCCGCCACCTCGCCCGGCTAGTTTTTTGTATTTTTAGTAGAGATGGGGTTTCACGGTGTTAGCCAGGATGGTCTCGATCTCCTGACCTCGTGATCCGCCCGTCTCGGCCTCCCAAAGTGCTGGGATTACAGGCCTGAGCCACCACGCCCGGCCCAGCAATTCTTTATAAAAGGACTTAGGTGAGAACTGTCAATTATATCAGTTCCATCAAAAACTCTAGGTTGGAATATCTTAAAAAGAGCAAATTAAATATGAGAAAGCACAGAAATCTCCCCATCAAACAAGAGGGGCTTCCTTTAATAGTCTTTAATGTAGCTCATTTGCAATTGTATGAAAATCCATCAAGATCAATCATGTTACACAATCCCTAAAGGATAAAACTGAGGGAACTCATGGATAATTTTCACAGCTTCGTTGTAAAGTCCAAGATCAAAAGGATGGTTATCTTCTTTAAACTGGACATAAGATGTACACAAGATGGTGGCCTTTGCGGTTACTTTTCCAACCACTTCCATAATTCCAGAGATTTCTTCATCAAGGGGTTCCATCAACTCGATGGTTCCATTTTTTCCTTCTCCATCTGAAAGAATAAACATTTTTCCAGTGGGATGAATCTTTTCCAGCCTCTCTACGAAGCAGACAGGCTTGTCTATGAACTGGGCTAGCATGCTGGCCTTGATGCGCGACCTCGGCAACTCCATCATGTCCACCATGATTATGGCCCAAGAGTGTGGCTGGCGGGAAACCCACAGACCACTGAAACTGTGTGCCCCGCGGTGTCTGTGGGGCAGATTTCTTCTGTTTTATAAAGTATTCGTTATGTTAGCTGGTCAGTGATTATAGGAATTGTTTTTATGAGATTTAGTAGTGCACACAAAGTAATTTTCAAAGGTAATTCCATTAGTGTATTAAGTTTTAGTGTTAGAACATTCCATTTTGTTCTTTTAAGTGCAGAAACTTACATAGGCCTACTTTTATTTTTATTTTTTATTTTTTGAGATGGCGTTTCACTGTTATCACCCAGGCTGAAGTGCAGTGGTGCAATCTTGGCTCATTGCAGCCTCCACCTCCCAGGTTCAAGTGATTCTCCTCCCTCAGCCTCCCGAGTAGCTGGGATTAAAGGCATCTGCCACCACGCCTGGCTAATTTTTGTATTTTTAGTAGAAATAGGGTTTCATTGTGTTGGCCAGCCTGGTCTCGAACTCCTGACCTCAAATGATATGCCCACCTCGGCCTCCCAAAGTACTGGGATTACAGGCGTGAGTCACCACACCCAGCTGAGCCTATCTTTATGTAGTTATTTTTTTTAAAAAAATTTTATTATTGACATAAATTTTATTTATTGAGTCAATTTGTTCAGGTAAGTACTAGGGAAGCTTCGTAACTTTTGAGGATGTTTTTATATGTAAAATATATCAACGAACATGACAGTGCTTGCTATGTAACAGATGCTCCATAATAAGGCAGAAATATTCGTGCTAAACTTAGTTTGTAACTTTGATTCAGAAATGAAAAATACCACTGGGCCAGGTGCAGTGACTCACGCCTATAATCCCAGCACTTTGGAAGGCAGAGTTGGGCAGATCATAAGGTCAGGTGATGAGACCATCGTGGCTAACACAGTGAACCCTGTCTCCACTGAAAATACAAAAAATTAGCCAGCCATGGTAGTAGATGCCTGTAGTTGCAGCTACTCAGGTTGCTGAGGCAGGTGAATGGCGTGAATCTGGGAGGTGGAGCTTGCAGTGAGCCAAGATTTCACCGCTGCACTCCAGCCTGGGCAACAGAGCTGGACTCTGTCTCAAAAAAAAAAAAAAAAAAAAAAAAATACCAGCTGGGCGTGGTGGCTCATGCCTGTAATGTCAACACTTTGGGAGGCCGAGGTGGGTAGGTCACCTGAAGTCAGGAGTTCAAGACCAGCCTGGCTAACGTGGTGAAACCCCATCTCTACCAAAATACAAAACTTAGATAGGCATGATGGCAGGTGCCTGTAACACCACCTCCTTGGAAGGTTGAGACATGAGAATTGCTTGAATGTGGGAGGCAGAGGTTGCAGTGAGCCGAGATCATGCCATTGCACTCCAGCCTGGGCGACAGACTTTTCTCAAAAAAATAAAATATCAATGCTGAGGATACAACATAGATTTTTTTTTTCATGTGGAGAGGACACTTTTTTTCAGGCTGCAAAGCTGAATCTTGCTGAATTTAAAGAGAGATCCTGCTGCTTTAATTTCCTAATTATCTTGATTTTTTTTTTAACTTTTTATGTGTATTCTAACTGTGTGTCACAGCCCTTTTTCTTCTTGCTCTATTATGGCTACAGGTTTCTCACTTATCTCCATGCCATGTCATTTCACATGGTACTTTGTAGGTTCTGATGAGAAAGTTGGTACTTTTTAATGCATTGAAAAATTGGTTTTAACTAGAGTTTGCTTATTAACATAACTTTCAGATTAGTTAATTAAAAGACATAACACTTTCCACAAGAATATATCAGCATAGAATTTATATCAGTGAGAAGAATATATCAGTTAGCATGGTTTTGTTTATAAAAGGAAAACCTTGTTAGATTCTCACACAAAGAGTGAAAAATATAGTTTGCTAAAATAGATGTCTTAGAAATTTAGTTTTTAAGAGTTGATTGTAAGTGAACAATTTCAAATTTAATTTTTATAATGTACTTATAGCATGAGTTATGTTTTCTATACAGTATCTTCAATTTTTAAGTGTGAATTTTGAAGTTGGCAAAATAATAAAGTGATCTCTGGATTTGATATTTGATGTAATTTTTTTTCATGTTGATACTACAATTTGGAGGAACTTCTCACTTTTTTTTCTAGTCTACAGTTTTTACTCTTTGTCACCTAATTGTAGTCAACTCCCTGGTCCTTTTCTCTGGAAAACTTTTGGAGAACATGGCTGCTTTTGGATTAAAATATTTCCTATTATTTTGCATAAAAACTAGTTTACTGTGTTCACGGAGTGGCCAGTCATGGGACCGTAAGCAACAGCTGCACCTTTTAGTGTTTTTCTTATTATTACCATCAACAACAGAAACTCTAAATACTCTATGCTTGAAATAAAAGCCCTAACGTACATTGGCTCTTCCCATACACTCTGCTGGGTCCAGAAAATGCTGTTAAATATTAGAGTTTCTAAGCTGGGCATGGTGGCTCACGCCTGTAATCCCAGCACTTTGGAAGGCTGAAGTGGGTGGATCACCTGAGGTCAGGAGTTTGAGACCAGCCTGGTCAACATGGTGAAACCCCGTCTTTACCAAAAATAGAAAAATTAACTGGGCATGGTGGTGGGTCCCTGTAGTCACAGCTACTCGGAAGGCTGAGGCAGGAGAATCCCTTGAATCCAGGAGGCAAAGGTTGCATTGATCCAAGATTGTGCCATTGTACTCCACTCTGTCTTAAATAAGTAAATAAAATAAATATCAGAGTTCCTATGGTCATGGCTGACAAACTAAATGACAAAAACTTTTTGATAGTATTCAGCTGTTTAAGACAAAGACACAGTACTTGAAACATTGTTATAAATATATATATACACGTACGTGTGTGTGTGTATGTATGTGTGTGTGTGTGTGTGTATATATATATATATATATATATAATTTTTAGATAAAGGTCTTGCTGTGTTACCCAGCTGAAGTGCAGTGGCATGGTCTCAGCTCACTAAAACTTCCACATTTCAGGGTCAAGCAATTCTCATGTCTGAAATAGCTGGGATTACAGGTTGGTGGCACCATGCCTTGGCTACTTTTTCTATTTTTCATGGAGATGGGGTTTCTTCATGTTGGCCAGGCTGGTCTTGACCTCAAGCTATTCACCCACCTTGGCCTCCCAAATTGCTGGAATTACATGTGTGAGCCAGTGCCTCCATTTAATTATATGTGTGTATGTGTGTGTGTGTGTGTGTATATATATATATATAAATTTCTTTTTTCCAAAATGGTCTCACTCTGTCCTCCAGGCTGAAGTGCAGTGCAGCCTCCACCTACTGGGTTTAAGTGATTCTCCTGCCTCACTCTTCTGAGTAGCTGGGACTACAGGCCACCACTCCTGGCTAATTTTTGTATTTTTGGTAGAGACATGGTTTCACCCTGTTAGCCAGGCTGCTCTTGAACTCCTGACCTCAGGTGATCCACCCACCTTGGCCTCTCAAAGCACTGATTACAGGTATGAGTCACCATGCCAAGCTAAAAATACACTTTTCAAGTTGACAGATAAAATGTGTATTCTGCAAAACAATATTTTTAGGTATGTATATATCGTCACATGCTTAATTCTAGGTAATTAATGCTTTACCTCATGTAGTTAACATTTTTGTTGTGAGATCACGTGGCATTGTCTTAACATTTTTGAAAACCAGAAATACATTAGAATAAACTATAGTCATTGTGCTGTACAATAAATATTTTGGACTTATTCCTCTTATTCAAGTATAATTATATATTCTTTTCTTTCTAACTGCCCATTCTAAACAACTTGGCATCTGGTATTCACCATTTTATTCTCTACAGCAATGAGATTGTTCTTTAGAATTCTTGTGTAAGTGAGACCGGGCCTGGTGGCTCACGCTTGTAATCCCAGCACGCTGGGAAGCCAAGGCAGGTGAATCACTTGAGGACAGGAGTTCAACACCAGCCTGACCAACATGGTGAAACCCTGTCTCTACTGAAAACACAAAAAAAA